TTTTCCTCTGACACTCTTGCCTTCAATGTCCTGTGAGTGTCATATTTTCCAAGCCTTCTCCCCTCATTTTGCACTCTAGTAATTTCAACTCTCTTCCAAATGTTAAGTATGTTTTTGTTTCCATTTTCTATAAAACTGTCATTGCTCACTCAGCACCTTTCTGTAGAATATTTCTATCATGTCAAGTTTCTTCTTCAACTGTGAGAAGATTGTCCAGTATTCACTAGCATCTAAGAGGACTGATATTACATAACAGTTCAGTACTCTTTTCTTCATTTCTGATGAAATTTTCCTGTATTTTCTTAATACTTTGATTAGCTTTTGGAAGGCATCTTTCTATATCCCAATGCGCCTTTGGATTTTTGTGTTCCATTTTCCATCTTCTGTTAAAATACTTCCCAGATATTTAAATTGCTGTACTTGCTTGATTTTGGTATCTACACTTTGTAATTTGGATGTTAGGCTGTTCCTTTGTTGACAACCATGTATTCAGTCTTCTTGCAATTGATACTTAGTTCTTTCTTCTTGCTTTCCTTCACTACCTTTTGTGGGAGTTCTTGTAGTTTCTTTTCTATGTCTACTATAAACACTGTATCATCTGCATATCTTACACTTAAGATTGTTTCCAGCAATAATGAATCCTTGTAGAACTTCAAATTCTCTTAAAATCACCACTCTGTATAGGCTGAATAAGTACTGTGAGAAGACACATCTTTGTCTTATACCCCTTTCTATTTTTATATATTTATTGAACTCGTTTTTTTTTTATCTTTATGCTAGCAGTTTCTAATATTCTTCCCAAATGGTTACCTAGCAGTTCGAACAGTTATTTTTGATTTATTTTATTAAACATTTTTGCATAATTCATAAAATATAGGTATACATCTTTTTGTAGTTGTATTGCTCTTTCTGACATCATTCCAAGCATAAATATTGCATTCTTTGTTCCAGTACCTTAAAGAAAATTGCGCTTTTCTTATTCTATTTCTGGTCTAATTCTGCTACAGGTGTTATCAGAATTCAGATAAATTTTCTTATATGGCTTATTAAAATGATTGAACAATGAGTGTACATTTGAAGTTGGTTTCTTAGGCAGTGCTATAAAAAAGGATCTGCTGAGGTCTTCTGGTATACCACCACTGTTGTATATTTCATTTAATATTTCTATAATCTTGTCAATGCCAAAATCATCAAAAGCTGCCAGCATCTCTATCACAATTCCATCTGGTCCTGCTGTTTTCTTTTTTAATATATGAAATTATATATCAATATTTTCTCATTAGCCCAAGAACCACCAATCAACAGGATAGAAATAGCTATGGCATGTGTGTTACAATATCAGAACATATCTATAAGCCTACTATTCACCCATGTTTAGAATATTGCTGCCACATATGGTCTGGCCCATGCTTTTTATCTAGAACTCCTTGATAAAATCCAAAGAAGAATCAGCAATATTATTGGTCCTGATCTGGCAGCTTGCTTCAGTCACTTTCCCATCATAAGGTTGCTTCTCTGTGTCTTTTCTATAAATACTTTCATGGTTATTGTTTCAATTAGCTCTTCACAATAGTATAGATTTTCTTTCATTTAAGTATAGTACTAGACTGGTGTCAAAAACTCATCAATTTACAGCTGAGCTGGCTAGGTGTAATATATATATCTTACTTATTATAAAACGCAGATTTGTGTGTGTGTGTGTGTGTGTGTGTGTGTAACGTTTATATATTGGATCGGATTTCCTACATTTTTCAACCGATTTCAACAAAACTTCACAGGACTACATAAAATTACCTTGTGGTGGTTCTAACAGTGCCAAAAATGGGAAAAATATAATTATTTTTGCACAAATCAATTTGAAAACACGATTAAGAGACATCGTGAAAATGGAAGGGGGACAACTCATATCGGGTTGTTTGTATGTGTGGGTTACTTTAAATATGGGAGCGGATTTCCTATATTTTTCAGCCAATAAAACAAAACTTCACTTTTTTTTTTTTGGCAGGTAGTGTTTCTTATTCTCTTGCACACTTTTTTCTTTATTTTAACATTCAGAATGCTTTAAAAATTCCATTTACAAGACAATTGTTTATAATAAAATTCTATTCAATCAGTAGACTCATAACGATTGAAAACAATGTTTTTGTTTGAGTTTGGGTTTGACCAATTTATAAAAAATAAAAAAAAATAAAAACTAATTAAGACATGCATGTCCGTCAACCTTAAACAATAATCTAACGATCTCTACTGATTGTACGAATACAAACATTGAATAAATTCTTTATCTTTAGGGAAAGATAATGAAGTCTAAACATACACAAGTCCTAACTAAAAATAATAACCAGAACGGGAAACTACTTTAAATACACATGGTGTCCAATTTTTTTACTGTATTCAATAAGTAAAAATCATAAATTGTAAAAGATTATTATTACAGAAAGGCTACTAAATGAATAAGATTTGTTAGATCATAATTAATAAACCCAAATAAAGTTAATATTTTTTGTATTAGAAACAACGAGTGGAAAATATATTCAAATCAGAATTCTAATTATGAATCACCACAAGCAAAATATGCAATTTTTATTACTGTATTCAATAAGTAAAAATCATAAATTGTAAAACTAAAAGATTACAGAAAGGCTACCTACATTTTTCAACCGATTTCAACAAAACTTCACTTTTTTTTGGCATGTAATGTTTCTTATTCTCTTGCACACTTTTTTCTTTATTTTTACATTCAGAATGCTTTAAAAATTCCATTTACAAGACAATTATTTATAATAAAATTCTATTCAATCAGTAGACTCATAATGATTGAAAACAATGTTTTTGTTTGAGTTTGGGTTTGACCAATTCGTAAAAAATAAAAAAAAAAAAAAACTAATTAAGACATGCATGTCCATCAACCTTAAAGAATAATCTTTGTCAATTTTATTTTTCAGTCTTTATGATGGTGGATACTTGATCTATCTCTTACTGTTATATCCCCGGGCAACGCCGGGCTCTACTGCTAGTATTAAATAAAAATAACTATACAAGTTAACAGATATAAAATTTAACAAAATGTATGGTAATGAAGTACTCAATATTAGACAAAAGTGATAATTTTTATTAAATTAGAAGTAATAAAGTTCAATACTCGAAGGTCATTCATTGGTACTCAAGATAAGAATCTTTTCAAAAATCCTGATAGGTGAGTGAAAAATTACCAAACTGAGTTGACTTTAGATAAGTATGAACATTATTATTTAATAATAATAATAATAATAATAAGGTTGCTTCTCTGTAACTTTTCTAGAAATACTTTCATGGTAATGAGGTCTTTGCTATGGCACCAAGACTTTTTGAATTTAAACACAGAAATAGATTAGCATTGACATCTCGTCAATTTACAGTTGAGCTGGCTAGATGTAGTCATAAGTTCTATGGTGTTTTTTTGTTTTTTTTTCTCACACTTCTTGTTTATGGAGCTCCCCTTCCAGCCCCATGCTTTCCAGCAAACTTTAATCTGTAAAAGTTTAAATGCAATGTCATTCGTTATCTACTGTCCTCCTGATTAATCTCTTCTCATTCAGATCATCATTAATGATTCTGTTCCTAATTCTTCCACATCCTGTAACCCCTTAGTGGCTTTACTGCCTTTCTTGTGGAAATCCATTCTGGCTCCATGCTTTCCAACCAACTTTAATCTGCAAAAATTTAAATGCAATGTCATTTGCTATCTACTGTCCTCCTGATTACTCTCTTCTCTTTTTGCTCCTCATTAATGTTTCTGTTCCTAATACTTCCACACATTGTAACCTCTTGTGTCTTAGTGGCTTTACTACCTTTCTTGTGGAACTCCCTTCCAGATCCTTTCCAGGAAACTTTAATCTGCAAAAATTTAGATGCAATGTCAATTACTATCTACTGTCCTCCTGATTACTCATTCCTCTTCCCACTCATTATTAATGTTTCTGTTCCTAATTCTTCCACACCCTATAACCCCTTGTGTCTTAGTGGCTTTACTGCCTTTCTTGTGGAACACCCTTCCAGTTCCATGCTTTCCAACCAACTTTAATCTGCAGTAATTTAAATGCAATATCAACCACTATCTACTGTTCTGATTACTCTTTCCTTTTCCCACTCATTATTCATGTTTCTGTTCAAAATTCTTCCACATCCTGTGACCCCTTGTGTCTTAGCGGCTTTACTGACTTTCTTGGAGTGATATTGATTAAAACAAAAAAAATCAAAAATATTTTCTAATAGGTGACAGAAAATTTGTTTCTTATGATCATATTATTAAGTGAACTTAATGTTCATGATGAATTTATCAGCTGTGATTAGTGTACAGTGCTTGCTAAATTCACTCAGAATATACACTACTAATATACACTGTTTACTACTCTGAAGGTAAAGAATAAAAATTTAAAAAATAAAACGTCGTCCGATAATAGTTGTTATACTTGGTGTATAAAATTTCTATTCAAATGTAAAAACTATTATGTGACAGAGGAAATGCAATTAAATATTCTATTTAAAAGGATTACATGTAATATTTTTATCATGTCCATAAAATAAATATTCTGCTCATTTTTAACCTTTATTACTTAATATGTGATGTCACTCACTTTACAAAAATTTTATTCTGCCACTGAAGGTGACTGCTCCCTAAACAATAGTGTGTTTGAATTTCATAGTTGTGTTGTCATATCCTGCTATGGCAATAGAAAACAAATTTGAGTGAAATTAACAATAAGGATACTCCAATTGAGAAGCCTTAAAAAAGAATGCAGTAGAAAAGGAAGTATTATTCATTATGTAGGGCTCTAAAGGTTAATCAATGGATTTAATATTTCACCCAGTATTTTTAACTCAAATGGAAATGGTATACGCCATTACGGACAAAGAATTACAAGTGATTAATAAATTATCCAAATTTTTTAGGAATTGATAATTCTCTACAGATATTTTATAACATTATTTATCAAAGAAAATTAATAAAAAAATTAAATTTACCTAGAAGCTGATGGTACAGGAGGAGGTGTAATGGCTCTAACAACACGTTTTTCATTTGGAGGTGTGGTAGGTGGAGTACCTTCATAGTGCGGACGTTGAAGAGATTCAGCATCTGATGATTGGTTATGAAATTGGCTAGAACTGGTCTTCTTCCTAAAAGCAGCAGGAAGAGTCTCCGATTTGTTAGGTTTAAAATTAGCCTTGGGTTTTTGTGCTTCAAAGGAGAAACGAGATTCCACAACGGGCTTATCATCATCTTCAAAGGGATTCATACTAGAAGCATCCATAGAGGCATTTCCAGTACAGTCCTTTTCTGAGAATGGATTCATTGAGTCAAAAGATTCATTCAAGTCATCTTCAAAAGGGTTCATGCTTTTTTCTTCTGGGAACATCTGATATCCAGGAGCTGAAATTTACATATAATTGATAAAGGTTTATGAACATAATATTTTATGCATATATTAATGTACTAGTATTCATAAAAAGAATTAACAGAATTATTTACATATGGATCAGTACCTAGGATCAGTGTAGTACCTGTGCACATCTCTTCCTAGGTTCACAACATTGCTCATAGAATTTTTTCCTAAAATCAGCCTAATAACTGTGCATTCTGAAAGTGTCATGCACACACACACACATGTATGTATATATATATATATATATTGATAATATTAGTGGTAAATATACACACACACATATATGCAATCATATATCTAAAATATATAAATATATATACATACATACATACATACATACATACACATACATATATATATATATATAAAAAATAATTCCAAGAGGATAGAATCCAGGTAGAACTCAATGTCCAGGACAGAGTAAGGATATAATAAAAAGGCTTAAACACTAATATTCCATGGTCATAATTTATTCCATTGGAATCATATATATATATATATATATATATATATATATATATAGACACACACACAAGAAAATGATACAAATTAACTGTATATGTCAACATTTTTAGGGGGAAGAGTATGAAAAAGGGGAATTTTCATCCTTTAATATATGTTTTGGGCATATAATCTAACTGATTTTGTTTACTTTCTTTTTCTTTGTTTCCATTTTTTTGTTATTACATAACCAACATTGTAATAATAGATCTGCCAAGAAAGGAGAAATATTGTAAGAACCTGGAGGCAAATTTACTGTATATGATCTGGAGATTAAAGCACTTTCTATACATTTTCATCTTAGTAAATTACTTTGTCTTTTAGTTAAAGTAGCATTTTTTTTAAAATCAAAATTGTGGTCAGTTTCATTATGGTGAGCAACTAATGCATTTAATGTTGTTTTGTGAAAGATCCCTTTTATGTCCATATAATCTTTTATTTAAATTACTTCAGGTTTCTCTGATGTATTACTTGTAGCAATTATTACAGGTAATAAAATAAATTCCCCATTTGAGCTTTAGCTTATTATTGTTTTGTATTAATTAAGTCTTTTATTGTTTTAAAAGTAGTAGTAACAAATTTCATGTTAAGTTTAGATACATTTTTTTTAATTATAGTTGCGATAGAGTTATATATTTTGATTCATTGGGTTTGTCAGAAGGACCACTTTTCTATTTTGAATTAGTAGACTTAATCCAAAACAAAATAATAAGCTAAGACTTGAAAGAGGAATTTACTCTATTAACTGTAATAATTGCCACAAGGAAAAACAACATTTTAAATGTAATAGTTGCTCACAATTTTGACTTAAAACATGCATCCGCAGTAAATTTATGTCCAGGTTCCTGCGACCTTTCACCTTTCAAAGCAGTTCTATTATCACAAAAATGATGGAAACATACACAAAAAGAAAAAGAATCTAAATTAAATCAGGTAGATTATATATCCAAAACATATATTAAAAAAAAATTTAATTTAAAATTCTCAGTGTCTTCTTTCCTTTGTGTGCATCTGTAGTTGCATCAGTGTAAACATCAATTTAGCCTGATGAAGTCCTAAAGAGCAAAACATGTGACACAAAAATATTTTCCACTTTGTCATACTTTTTCTCCCTAAAATTGTTCTTCATATATAAAAAACTTATACATTGTTTTCTTATATATATGACAAATGCTGTTTGTTGATATATAAAATTATACAAAATTATATATCATTATATCATATATATCATTTCACTCCAAGCAAGGGAATAAAAGCCACTAAGATGCAAGGCATTACTGAAAGTAAATGAAACAGAAAGAACAATAAAAGCCTAGAATTCAAAGAGACTGATGGCGATGATTGAGATCATCAGCTCTTGATTGTAAACAGAGGTGTGGCCTATGAACTAGAGACATTAGAATCAATTAGGTACAGAAATTTAACTAACTGGGTAGTGTAGTAACAGACAATGGAAAATGTGAAGGCTTAGTGAAATAACAATAGAAATCTTTCAAAAAGAAAAAGTATTAAGATTCCTAGGAGAACACACTAGTATACCAATAGATAACCTGAAGGAGATGCTGACTTTCTGTACACAAACAAAATGCTTCAAAATGGGGTCAGGAATATATATCAGCAGGATGATGGTTTAGTAATGGGCTTACCATTATCACCAGCAATGGCTAACATGGAATACTTTGAGGAAATAGCATTAGAATCACTATCACTAAAGCCAACTCTATGGCTGAGATATGTAGATGACACCTTCATACCCTGGCCACACCAGGAAGAGGTCTAGCTACTACTGAACCATATGAACTCAATAGGATCACCAATACAGTTCACAATAGAGAGAGAAAACAAGAACAAACTAGCACTCCTGGATGTACTAATATCTTGAATAGAACATGGGTTCAAGACATCCATATAACACTAGCCAACAATACCTCAATTTCAACTCCCATCACCCATAAAGTGTATCATTCACTGCCTACAACATAGAGCAAAAGCCAGTTGGCAACCCCAAGACATATGAACAAGACATGTTCAGTATAAGCAATACCCTACAATGCAACAACTACCCAGGGTACATGACAGCAGCTCCCACAAACTAGGATAGAAGGGTACAAGAGTGTAACAACACCCAGAAAACAATCTTGGTCTCCTTACCCTATGTGAAAGAATTATCAGAAAAATACAAAAGATCTGTGGTTCATACAACATGAGGATGATCTTCAAAATTGGTCCAACACTTTAGACACCTCTTCTGAGTAAGACCTCCCATAGAGAAGAACATGATTAAGGATTGTATTTACACCATCCCATGCAGCTGTGGCAAGAAATATAGAGAAGCAGGCTGCCTCCTTAAGATTAGACTGCAGAAACAACAAAACCATAATACAAAGGCAAACAGAAAAATCAGGAATGGCTGACCATATATGAAAGTAAAAAGGGAGATCACCACGTTCTGTGGGATGAGGTTGAAATGATAGAGAACATCACTGAAAAATACAAAAACTTAAGGAATCAGCATATATGCTAGGCCACAAAATGTTCCTAAGCTGTCCAAGCATAGACATGAATACAATATGGGAACCACTAATACAGAGAGCTAGAGAAAAACAATAACAATAATTGGAAAATGAGTTCTAGTAAAAAAATGAACTGAGACATTATGTTTATAAGTTCCAAAAATTAATTCACTAATGCCCCTAAAGGCATTGGGTGAAGTAATCCAGTGACTTGACCCAAAAGATTTAGGAGTTCACAGCAGAGGTGAATAAAAACTTGGAAAGCTGAGTAAAGGGATAATAACTGAAACTGAAATATCCAGAAAATGCATGGCATGTGGAACTAGAACAATCTCCACCAGTGATGAAATACAGGGTTTGGTTAGAAATTTCAATATATATCACCTGAAGAAGGTCAGAGCATACAACAGCCAAAACATTGTGAATGTAACAATAAAGATGAGAACAACAGTCTGAACAAAATAGTATAAATAGTTACAATACCTCATCTCAGAAATATCAACAGATTCGGAAGGAGGCTGGAGTATACAATGGCCGAAACATTGTGAAGATGGCAATAAAGATGAGGAAAACAGTCTGAACAATGTAAATAATTACAATACCTCATCTCAGAAATATAGACAAATTTTTCTATTGTACATAAAAAATTTACTATTAAAAAAATTTTTTTTTTTTTTTAAATACTCACATAAGTCATTCTGACCTTTTGAACCAGCTTCCAACTGACTTAGTTTTGCTGAAACTTCCAAAAATTTATTGTTGATATCAAGAGTTTCATTTTCTTCATCTTCAACAAGATCTTCAAGATTTCCAACATCTGTTCTTCCAATGCTCATTAAGCTAGCTACACTCTGCATATCCTCATCACTAGAAATAAAAATACATTAGTATAAATTAATTATATATAGTTTAGATTATTTTTAATCAAGCTATTTAATGACACATAAGGATTTAAAACAACTTCCAACAACTTGAATTTTAATACTCAAATATCAAATAGTATCAAAAAATTTTAAATGTTAATGCCTAAAACTAAATAATTATTCTATGGTAATATTTCATTCATTTCAACTATACAAGCTCACACAAGCAAACATTATGATGAAATAATAAACACTTCAATAGTTAAAGTTGATTCATTTATAACTAATTTTTAGCAATGAGTGAATAAAAATCTTTTAATATTTAAAATATAGCAAGCATATTAATTATTATTGACAATTTTAATTAAAAATAAAAGCTAAAAATGTTTAAAATTATACTATTATATATTGTTTAAAATGTTTTGATATATTTTGAAAAATTTTAAAGAAATTTTTAGATGAGGTACTGTCACTTTATTTTATTTATTTTTAACACTAACATTTTCTTCATCCTAAATTTATTGTTGCTTTTATTGAAAGGTCCAGGCTTTTTTTTTTACATTCAACATTAAGATTAGAAATAAAGACTTTGTTTCTGGTTAAATTTGAATGTCTCTTCTGTCTTATCAAACCAACACCCAAGCATAAGAGATAATTTAACACCATCATGCCACTTTACATTGCTTAAAGTTAATATATTAAAGATAAGCAAAGGGAGAAAAAAGAAAAAATCCAGACAAAAAAAGCAAAAATGTTAAAAATTGGATATATTTATGTCCTCCATTGCAAGCTCTATGCCATCACTGCAGTAGTTGTCCATATTCATGATTTGTTGGTAAAATGCTTTGACAAAGAAAAAGCCTAAAACATTTGGCAAAATGGGCAGTGAGAGTAAAAGAAACTTAAAAACAAAACTGGCACTGGTAACCTAACTTTAATTTCAAAACAGTAAATGCTCAAGAGCCTATCACTATTGATACACACACACACACATATATATATATATATATATATATATATATAAGTGTGTGTGTGTGTGTATGTGTATTTAGGCATACCTGATTGAATAAATTAAAAACATTATGTCTGCTTATTTTTATCATAATCCTTTCATATTCACAATTATTCACATTATGTGTTTTTTTTATGTTGTTTTATGACATTATTATACATATATGCTCTTGAAAAAATTATTTCAGTTGAGCTCTTCAGGGAGAAAAGCGAATTTGTAAACCGTAACTATTACTGCTGCTGATTGATGCAAGACTGTTAAGACGAATCAAGTTCACTGGTCACTGGTGTCATTGTCTAAAAATAAATACATCTAACTTCACCCACAAAATGGCATAGGAGTAAAATTTCTGACTAATATAAAATCAGTTGGATTTCGATCCCAGTTTGAGACAATCGTATATCTTGCCACACTGATGAGCTGTGAAACAGCAAAACAGTCTGTCTGTGGATGACATATATATATATATATATATATATATGTGTGTGTGTATGAATAAAAATGACAATAAGAAAACTGGTAATTGCTGACGTGTTTCGTCCAATGTGGACTTTATCAATCAAAATTTTTTTCGTATTTTGCTTTGATAAAGTCCACATTGGACAAAACGCATCAGCAATTACCAGTTTTCCTATTGTCATTTTTATTCATAAATATTGTCTTCTCTACTGGTTAAATCGGAGAAATTTTCATATAATTTGTTGGTTCTTGTGAGAAGCAACTCTGCCTCTTATCATTATCAAATATTAGTAAAACAAAAGAAAAACTGATTGAATTGTCAATGATCAGTTTTTAGATACATCTTTACATCCAAAATCAAATTAAAGAAAATAGTATAAATTCTTCAAATATAATTGAATAAATGTTTATTAATTAACTGTTATCATACTGGGATTTTTGCATGCAAAGCAAAAATTTTATCCTGTCACTGCAAGTGACTCAGATGAATGAATGATAGCATGTTTAAATTTTGCAGTTGTGTAGCAACAGAAAATGACCATGACTGAAATTAAGTAGTGTAGTAAAGGAGCCTTGAAAAACAATGCAGTGAAAAGGAGAGTAGTGAATAATACAAAGTATTAAAGGTTATGATATATCTATAATTATAATTATTAATTAAATATTAGTATAAAGGATAAAAGATTTTTTACTCACGTTGCTTTTCCTTCACGTAAAAAGAGACAGGACAGTGTAAAATGAAGACTTGCTTCTTTAATCTTTTTTGTTGCCGGCTTCAGTTGTAATGTGATTGTGTTCTGTGTGGGAACATGACTAGCAAATTTTGTCATATTTATAGGTTTTGAAGCAAGAATCTTTCTTCTCCCAGCTTTACTAACCTAAAACAATTAATATAAAAATAAAGAAATAATAAACATTAAAATTCTCTTATGTCATATGTTTACATAAAAGCAACATTCATATATTGACATATTTTACATATGTCTTCCTTATTTATAATAACAATATGGACATTAAATATTGATATCTAATGTCCTCTCAATCACTTAAGGAAAACAATTTTTTTATTTTTTGAAAATTAAAATGTTCTTTTAAAATTACATAATTTAAAAGAGGACAGAAAAGGTATTTTGTGAAGTTATTTATAGACAGAAAACAGTTATTTGTAAAAGCAAAAAAAATTTTCATTTTTGAACAAATGATTTAGAACAGTAATTAATCTACTTCTTCCTGCTTTGTCTTGATAAAAGGTCTTATCACTGGCATTTCACAATCCCTTATAGAGTGGGAGAGTGAACACTTGAACAAAACACACTTCTAGGATTAGCTTAACTGCACAAGTAATAGCAGCAAAAAGATATCTTCATAATTAACCTCAACAAAGGTCAATAAAAATATAACCCCAACATTCAAATCATTTTCAATTTTTAAACTTTTAGATACAAATATGTGTTATGCCATAACATGAAGAGTGATAGTTCTCCACAGCTGCCTGCCTTTTGTTGCTTTCAGCAATACTCACTTCTTGTTGACATCCTTGTACATGTCCCTCCATCTATTTGCTCAGATGTATCAAGTAGATTATTCAATGCTTTCCTCTGTTTCTCTTGCATTGGTGTTTTGTGGGTGTTAAATTCTCCAAACCATTTTATATAGTGTCCCAAAACACTCAGACATTTTTCTGATTGTTAGCCAGTTTCTTTGTACTTATTCTCCTTTAATCTTTATCACTCTGTATGTGACTTCATTTGCTGTACAAAAAGTTTATCCTGCCACTGAAGATGACTAATCGCTAGAAAATAGTGTGTTTGAATTTCATAGTGGTGTTGTCATGTCCTGCTATGGCAACAGAAAACAACTTTAAGTGGAATTAACAATAAAGATACTGCAATTAAGAGACCTTGAAAAAGAATGCAGTAGAAAGAGAAGTAATATCAATAACGATGAGTGCTAAGGTTTAAACTACCTCATTTGTCACATGTTTTCTCTGTGATATTCTCAACATATATCTATAGAGTTCCATCATTGTCACTCAGGTCTTTCTTCATTTTCAGCACTCACTGCCATAGAAGATGGCAGACATAAGAATCCAAAACACTTATTTGTTTCTAACATTATTTCCAATTTTTATTTTCTTATAAGTATATTTTCTATGCCTTTGCATTTGTACCACATTTTCTATTATCTGTTATTAAACTGTTCAGATACTTGAATCAAGGGCTTTATTTTGACATCCCCAATGCATAAAACTCACCTTGAGCAGTCACTTTTGCTCACAAGGCATTGAATATTCTTACAATTAAGGTTTATCCTTTCTTAATTTCATCAACTACTTTGTTCTTTCAGAATCTGTCATCAACATCTTTATAGTGTACATTGTTTCAGCTATGTATATGACTAAATTCTGATAGAAATAAAAGGTTCATCAGAATTTATTATCATCTTACTGTAGAAATTAAATAAATCATGAGATGCCATATCCTTTTTATTTTTATAATTCATTCTCTATTTGCAAACAAGCTATTTTCCCAATACCAATGACAGATTATTCATGTATCTTCTGCATGTAGATCAAGTCCTTCAAGTTCTATGAATGCTTTTGCATAATCTATGAAACACAGGCACATGTCCTCCTGCATTTGTGAAGAAGCATGAATTATGAGAGAGATCATGGTCAGAAAAGACTCCCCCTCTCCCCACTTGGCTGATGTACATCCAAATTTAAGATAGGAAGAGAGACTGCGATTATTAGTTCACAATAAGTACCAGTCAAGAAGGATACTATGCCATGCCAATGACCTTTGTCCAGTTTTGAGGACAGTCATAACAGTAAGTGAACACAATCATGCATCATCATAAAGTCAGAAAATGATTGGTCTTGAATCAAGTACATTTGATACCAGCTTACAAACAGAAAATTCAGAACTTGACTCAAGTGTGACTCTCATAAAACAATTCTTTTGGGGAAATAGAGGCTACTCATTTCCATAGGAGCACCATGTGGAAGAAACCAGTTTCATGCTATCACACCTATGACTTAGGCTTAGGCTATGGCTTAGGAGAGAATGTGGTGGAAACTGTATGTATGTGGAACTGAAAACAGACATACTGGTCAGCATCAAAAGAGAAACCAAGTAGACTGTGTCTGGTTTGATAACAGCAATAATAAAAAAAAAATTTTCTCCTTTGATCTGAGGTGTATATTTGCATATAGACAGCATCTTTCAGTATGTTCATTTTATATGCAAATATTGCACACTAAAATGCTTTCTCACTTATGTCTATTCTGAGGGTTGTAGAATGTTTCTGGCTTCCATAACATCAAACCTTCTCTCCCATGGGCCCAGCCAAGAGCAATTACTTCTCAACTAGCATTCTGGCATAGCTTCTGCATGATTGCAAAAATTATAACTGTGCCAAGAAATGCTGACCTTGGATACAAGATATTTCACCTGTAATAAAAGAATATGAAGCACAAAAGTGAAGGGGTATGCATTAAGCCAGTGATGAAGGCATCTATAAAGCTTTACAGTGGTACTATACTATGTCATATATGATAAAATATAACCTTTTAAAATTTACTGTGTCAATTTTATTTCCAAAAGCTTCATAAAACAAAAATAACATTAATGTATATTAAAATATTTTTACGACATACTGAATTAAAGGTTAAATTTTGACAATATTTTTCAATATTTTTAATGTTGAAAAAAAATGCATATGAGCTCAAAAATGATGATGTTTTTTTTTTTTCTTTTTCTCTTGGCAGCTGACATGTGAGATTGATGGTATTTTTGCACACAAAAGTTTCCTCATTAAAGTCCAGATTAAGTTAATCATTTTCATTGATCCACATTTCACCAAGGAGGCTGTTCAAAAAACAATTAAGAGTTGCAATGTGCCAATCAATTAACCTGCGCCAAATATGCATGAAGTAGGAGAGGTTCAGATGAGAAATGTCTGAATAAGGCTGAATATAACACATTATTAAAAAAATATATATATTACACAACAGCCTGTACAAGACCATCATGCAAGGCACCATTGAGGACACCAACACGAAAACTGGTTGGGCAATGTCAAACAATGGACTATATACCAGAATTGCTGATGGCTGCTATTGACAGACCATTGTGGAGGAGATTTAATATGGCTGCTGAATTCAGATACCCTCTACAATTACAAAAGTCAAAGGGATGATGACAATTACAAAAGTCAAAGGGATGATATTACTTAATGGTAGACTATAGACCAGGATGATTGGCCATACAGAAGAAATTAAAGCAGAGACTAAGAGTGTAGTGGTACTGAACAGAATATATCTATTGAGCACTATGCAAGGGTCTGCTGAAAAGATCATAGGCTAACTAAGAAGGAGGATGCTAGATGTGTAATTTAGCATGCATTTATTTCAATTCTATTTAATAACTGCATTGTTTCTTTCCAGGTAAACTAACTGTTCAAAGAAGACTTCAAAGGTAAGTAATAGCAACTTCTCTTGAAAATGAACAAAACTTGGCATCATGGTTTTATCAAGTACCTGCAGATAAAGGATCTATCCCCTCAAGGACATTCAAGCTGACATGGTTACTACATTAAGCGATTATTAACAGTGCAAAAGTGGGCAGTTGAATTTAGTAGAGGTAGGAAGAGTCTTGAAGATGACCCAAGGTCTGGAAGCCCTGCAACTGCCACCACCAAGGAAAACATTGATCATGTTCACCATATGGTGATAAATAACAGGCAATTGACTATAAATCATATAACCAATGCTATTAGCATATCCCATATGAGAGTAGAGAATATTGTGCACAATGAACTTGGTATGATGAAGGTTCCTGTTCGGTGAGTACCACATCTTACAACACCTGATCAAAAACGCACCAGTCTCATCCTTGAATGTTTTCTCATCTAAGATAAGTGTTGGATTCATCATTTTGAGCTAAAGACAATCCATGAAGTGGAAATACTCCTCCTCGTGTACTCTAAAGGCCTAGTTCGTTTTTGGATGCAAAAGGCATTGTGCTTATTGACTACCTTCAAAAGGGCCATACCATCAACAGAGAGTACTATGCCAACTTGCTGAGGCAGTTATGAAAGGCTATCAAGACTAATCATCCAGGAAAACTGACGAAAGGGGTTTTGTTTCATCAGGACAATGCTCCAGCATACAAGTACTTGATTTTAATGGCTACTGTGCATGATTGTGAGTTTGAACTGGTTGATCATCCTCCCTATTCATCTGATTTGGCTCCATCTATCATCTTTTCCCCAACATGAAAAAACAATTGGCTGGAAACTGGTTGCCATCATCCCATAAAAACTAAGGCCATCACCTTCCTTGTAGATGAAATGACTTAGACCTTCTTTGGTACAAGTGAGGAAGTGTATTTCCATATCATATCTGCTGTTAATAAATTTTTTTGACCAACTGGATGAAAACTTCTTCACCAATGGGACCCATTCACTGCAATACCATTGGAAGAAATATGTGGACTATAAAGTGTACTATGTTGAAAAATAAACCTCATTTGATTACATTCCACAAGAGTATCTTGATCAGCCTACAAACTTTTCAGTCAATCCTCATATTTAATGTGTTCTGATGTTCTAACATGATTCATTTGAACTAAGTTTTTTATACTTGCTTTTTCTAACCAAACTATGTTATCTGGCTTTCCTTAGGCATATGTTAAATCTAGTAAACTGTGATATAAACATTGTGTTAAATGTCCTCCCCAACCCACCAGAAAAAAAAGAAAATACTAATCTAAATAATTCAAATAAAAATAATATTTACAACTACCATAATCCTGTGTTTATAAGACGCAGGGTTTTTCATCCAAAATAGTGTCCACTAAGTTTGTGGCATCTTACAATTTAGTTTAGAACTCAGTCCCATTTTCTCCAGGACTCTTGGGTCAAAGTAGATTTAAATATCTCTCTGGTAATCAAATATATAATGGCATATTGCAACAAAGGAAAATAAGGTTTCCATAATGTTTCTCTAAATCCTATATCATGTTTTTGTGATGCTTACAAATCACAAGAAAAATGTTCCATTATTTTTATTTTCTCTCTTCCTTTATTTCACAAGTTTTAGTCATTTTCTTTTCTCTAAAAAGAGGTGCATTTTATACATGAAAATAAGCATTTTATTTATGGAATTTCTCTGCTTTTTGTATCTTATACTGCCTAGCAATATACAAAGGTTTATGGTTTTCATCAAATTAAAATTATAATTTTTAAGAGCGATAAACTTTATATTTTTCCCATAAAATTACTTATGCTAAATGTACTTATGATAAAATCCAAAGAAGAATCAGCAATATTACTGGTCCTGATCTGGCATCTCAGCTTCTGTCACTTTCCCAACACAATAAATTTTCCTCCCTGTGCCTTTTCTATAAAACTATAAATATTTTCATGGTAATTGTTTGGATAAGGTCTTCACTATATTACTAAGACTTTATGAATTCAAGTAGAGTACTAGTCTGGCAATGTGGTCTCATCAATTTACAGTTTAGTTGGCTTGATGTAACCACAAGTTCTATGCTAACAATTACTTTTCTCACACTTCTCGTTTGTGAAACTCTCTTTCAACACCATGCTTTCCACTTAACTACAATCTTCAAAAATTTAAATGCAATGTCAACCATTATCTACTGTCCTCCTAATTACTCTTCTTTTGTTCCTGCACCTTAGTAAAATTTCTGTTTTCTAATTCTTCCACACCCAGTAACCTCTTGTGTTGTAGCTGCTTTACTGCTTTGTTTGGGGTGGGGAAAAAATGCATATCAAAAATAGCAATTTGCATCTTAAGTTTCCTTTAACAATGCTTTATGAAATTTAGTATATCATATTTACTTACACTCTCAATGACAAAGGTCCATTCTTTGTCTTCATATTGCTCTTGTCTTGTATCACGGAAACAAGTGACCGTAATTTCAACATTCTCTGGAACATTCCATTCTACGACTCCTCTATAAGGGTTCTGAATTGTTGGAACCCAAGACTGTGGCTGAAATTACAGAAAATAGACAATATCTTAACAAACACGTTTTATTAAGTCCAACTTTATAGATTCAATATTTGAATTCTTTTACTGTCATATTTTATTTTCTTACATCTTTTTTGGTAAATATTCCTTCATTTCTGTCAATCTTTTTAATGTAAAAAAAAGTTATATGGTTAATTTGGGAGACAAACATTTATAAGGATTATGAGCAAATGCAGTAAATGATACAAAACCCCAGCCTCATTTTATAAATGCTTTTGTCAGTATGTTTCTTAAAAACAACAATCTTGTAAAAGCTACTTTATTCTACATGTTATATATCTTTCATTAAGAATAAACTTATCATACAATTTATTTTTAATAAAAAATAACCACAACATTTGAAAAATATGCACACACACACACACACAAAAGAGAGAAAAAAAAATCAACCTAACACCAATAAAAGCATCCCAATTAGTGCATGAATTAATTAGACTAAAAATTAAACTTTGTATTCTTTCTTTTTATGTGCCATGTCATTTCAGGTTGTAGGTGATCATGGCTCTCTACTTCACCCTCTATCCCTTGCAGCTCTCAACAAGTTCCTTCCCTCTGCTTCTTCCCCCAGACTACTTTCTGTCATCCAATTGCTTAAGCCTACCAGGTATGTCCCACATTGAAAGATAACAAAAATTATCAAATTATTCAATTACTGAAACCTCCTGATAAGTGGACTGAACAATTATAAAAAGGTTCATCTACGAAATTATGGAACCAAGGTGCTGAATATAACATCAATCAGCTAAGTGACAAATTTTATTTGAATTAATATAATTATTTATTTAAAAATTATAACATAAATATGTTATAAATCACTACAAAATAGCCATTTTGTTTCAACACCTCGAGTCTCTTATCAAGTGATGATGTTGAATGTAGAATAAATGGTTTTAAAGGTTTCAAATTAATTAATGATCCTTCATCAGGGGAAAACGCTGTTAAGCTAGAATGACCAATCAAAACAAGTATATGAGAATTCAAAAAACTTGACAACGAAGTAAGGTTATAATAGCTATTAAAAGCTTTAAAGTTGGGGTTATACTAAAATAGAATTTATTCTAACCAATAAGTATTAAATTATATGATAAAATTTGATATTAAAAATTAAAAGTAAAAAATTACCAATTTTAAAATCTGGATTCTGCATGTCTTATTCTTGGATTTTGCATATTTCATTCTATACACACTGCAGAGGAAGGTCACGAAATCAAGTGTATGGGTCACTTCCTTGCAAGTGAAGAATGGATGACAAGAGGATGCTTTAGTGAAAGTGGAAGTTTCTAGTCATGAACCTGCATGTTGTCAGTGAATTGTCTTCCATGTTAATCTATTTTTCAGATTGCTCCAATACTTGTTTATAAGCTGTAAGATTTTTCTATTTCTACATGTTGGCAGTGAATTTAGTCATCAACGTCATCATAAAGGAAGCAATCAGCAAGCAAGAAATTAAATTCTTAGATATGAAATAAAGTCAACAAAGAAGACAAAAATTTTAAGTAGGGACATATACTTGGAATTTAGGTAATTGCAATGTGCAGTTTAAAGAACAAATCTGACATTTTGCTAATTACAAAATGCTTTATTTTACAGAAGATGAATGTGACAAGGACTAAACAATTTCAAAATATAACCTAGGAACTGATTATCTAAATAAGGATTTAATTTTTAGATTATACTAATATAATAGATAATGCAGTGATTTCTCAAATCTACATGCAAACCATTGAAATATTCTGCAATTGTCTTCCATGTAAATCTGTTTTTCAAATTGCTCCAATACTTGTGTATAAGCTATAAGATTTTTTCTATTTTGAAAATAAAATTATTTATTTTCTAAATTTTTTCATAGTAAAGAGGTTATTTAAATATAATAATCATTCTCACCAAAAATATTTAATTACTCAAGACCAAAAAATGTGAGCTAACCATATTATGAAAATACATATTTTTTTGTTATAATTAAAAATTTGTGAATTTTGAAGATGTAGTTAAATTAAGTAAATATTTTAAAGTAACTATTTCCCATAAAACTGACTTGATGCCATAACTATTTTAATAGATTTTTTATTTCTTTACAATATTGAGTTTTCTGTCAGTGAGATAACAGCACTTGTTTATTTTTGCCAATTAAAAGAATTCAGAACTTTTAGTGGAAGTAGACCACCAGCATGGTTAGAAAATGAATGAGAAAAGTAATATGAAGCATAAGGATATATCTTTTCACCAGATTTATTCAATCTTTACAGCAAGGTATCTTGAACAAAGCTGGAGGCCCTTCCAGGATTTATTACTGATGGGGGTATGATATATAAGATACACAGATAACACTATTCTGATGAGAGACACAGTAAGAAAACTACAAGACCTCTTAAATAAGGTAGTGAAAGAAAGCCGGAAGAAGAGATTAACCACCCATTATAAGAAGGCAGAATGTATAATTGTCAATAAAAGAAAACGTCCAAAATTCAAACTACAAATTAGAAATGTCAAAATGAAACAAGTGCAGAAGTTTAAATATCTGAGAAATATTTTAACAGAAAATGTGACCATTGAAATCCAAAGGCACATTAGAATAGTGAAAGATATCTTTCAGAAACTAAACTGAGTATTAAAAAAACAAGAAATTCATGCAAAAAAAATTCAGAGGTCACACTATACATGGAGTCAGCTTATACACAAGCGTATATGGTATATAGAAATTATGAAAGCAAACTAAAAATTAATTTGCAATACAACATGCAATGCTAAAATACAAAGTGATTACCTATTTAGTTTTAACATCTGTCAGTTTTTGTGAAAACTCAAAATATATCTTCAAACAATTTCTTATTTAAAAAATCAGATAAACTGTCATAACCAACAAAGACATATTTTATACATTTTAGTAATTCCATTAAATTCATACTATAAATATAGATCACCAAGAACTTTAAACAATATTTATAGGTTTATTAAAAACAAGCAAGTTACTCATGAATTAATAACATATGAGAGAGAGAGAGAAAACATATGAGAGAGAGAGAGAGAGAGAACATATGAGAGAGAGGGAGAGAGAAAAATGAAAGATGAGAGAGAGAGAAAGAAAAGGAGAGAGAGAGAGAGAGAGAAAGGATGAGAGAGAGAGAGAGAGAGAAAAAAGAGCAAGCAAAGGGAGAGAGAAAGAAAGAGAGAGAGAGAGAGAGAGAGAAAAATATGAGAGAGAGAGAAAGAGGAGAGAGAGAGAGTAAATATAAGAGAGAGAGAGAAAGGAGAGAGAGAAAAAATATGAGAGAGAGGGAGAAAGAAAACATGAGAGAAAAAAAAAAGGGAGAGGAGAAAGAAAACATGAGAAAAAGGGAGGAGAAAAAAAGATGAGAGAGAGGGAGGGAGAAAGAAAACATGAGAGAAAATATGGGAGAAAGAAAACATGAGAGAGAGAGGGGAAAAAAAAATAGAGAGAGAGGGAGGGTAAAAAGAAAACAGAGAGATAAGGGAGGAGAAAGAAAACAATGAGAAAGAGGGAGGGAGAAAGAAAAAATTATGAGAGAGAGGGAGGAGAAAAAAAAAATATGAGAGAGAGGAGGGAGAAAAAAAACAGAGAGAGAGGGAGGGAGAAAGAAAACATAGAGAGAGAGAGGGAGAAAGAAAAGGGATGAGAGAGAAAGGGAGGGAGAAGAAAGAAAAAATATGAAGAGGGAGGGAGAAAAATTATGAGAGAGAGGGAGAAAAATGAGAAAGAAAAAATGAAAGAGGGAGGGAGAAAGAAAACATGAGAGAGAGGGAGGAGAAAAGAAAATATGAGAGAGAGAAAGGGAGAGAAAGAAAGAAAATCTGAGGGAGAGAAAATATGAGAGAGAGAGGGAGGAGAAAGAAAAAATGAGATAGAGAGAGGGAGAAAGAAAACGTATGAGAGAGAGAGAGAGGGAGAAAGAAAAAATATGAGAGAGAGAGAGAGGAGAGAAAGAAAAATAAAGAGAGAGAAAGAGAGGGAGAAAGAAAATAAAGAGAGAGAGAGAGAGGGAGAAAGAAAACGTAAAGAGAGAGAGGGAGAAGAAAACGTATCAGAGAGAGAGAGAGAGAGAGGGAAAAGAAAACAAAAGAGAAAGGGAGGAAGAAAAAATGAGAGAGAGAGAGAAAGGGTAAAAGAAAAAAATGAGAGAGAGGGAGGGAGAAAGAAAACATGAGGAGAAGGAAAAGAAAAGAAAACAGAGATAGAGGGAGGGAGAAAGAAAAATATGAGAGAGATAGAGGGAGGGAGAAAGAAAAATATGAGAGAGAGGGAGGAGAAAGAAAACAGAGAGAGAGAGAGGGAGAGAGAGAGAGAAAAATATGAGAGAGAGAGAGAGAGAGAGAAAAAACGTATGAGAGAGAGAGGGAGAGAGAAAAAATATGAGAGAGAGAGAGAGGGAGAAAGAAAACGTATGAGAGAGAGAGAGGGAGAAAGAAAACGTATGAGAGAGAGAGAGGGAGAAAGAAAACGTATGAGAGAGAGAGAGGGAGAAAGAAAACGTATGAGAGAGAGAGAGGGAGAAAGAAAATAGGAGAGAGAGAGAGAGAAGAAAAAATATGAGAGAGAGAAAAGAGGGAGGGAGAGAAAAAATGAGAGAGGGAGGAGAAAGAAAAATGAGAGAGAGAGGGAGGAGAAAGAAAAATGAGAGAGAGGGAGGGAGAAAGAAAACATGAGAGAGAGAGAGGAGAAAGAAAAAAAGATGAGAGAGGGAGGGAGAAAAAAAGATGAGAGATAGAGGGAGGGAGAAAGAAAACATGAGAGAAAGGGAGGGAGAAAGAAAAATATGAGAGAGAGGGAGGGAGAGAGAAAATATGGGAGAGAGAGGAAAGGATGGGAAAGAAAAAAAAAGGAAAATAGGGGAGAAAGAAAACAAATGAGAGAGGAGGGAGAAAGAAAAATGAGAGAGAGGGAGGGAGAAATAAAACATGAGAGAGAGAAAAAAGGGAGAAAGAAAACATGAGATAGAGGGATGGGAGAAAGAAAATGAGATAGAGAAAGATGAAAGAAAACAAAGAAAACAGAGGGAGGAGAAAGAAAAATAGAGAGAAAAAGAGGGAGAAAGAAAACATAAGAGAGAGAGAGAGGAGAAAGAAAAAATATGAGAGGAGAGAGAGAGGGAGAAAGAAAAAATATGAGAGAGAGTTATAAAATAAAACGTGAGAGACAAAGGATGAAAGAGGGAGAAGAAAAAAAACTATGAGAGAGAGAAAGAAAGAAAACGTAAAGAGAGAGAGAAAAGGGAGAAAGAGAAAAAATTATCAGAGAGAGAGAAAGAAAGAAAGAGAAATAAAATACGACAGGGAGAAATAAAATATGAGAGGGAGAGAAAGAAAACAGAGAGAGAAACAAAGGGATGACAGAGAAAACATGAGAGAGAGGGAGGGTGGGAAAAACATGAGAGAATGAGAGATAAAAGAAAAAAAATGAAAATATGAGGAAGAGAGAGAGAAAAAATATGAGAGAGAAAAATAAGAGAGAGAAAAAAGAAAATATGAGAGAGAGAGACAGAAAGAAAAATATGAGAGAGAGAGGGAGAAAAAAAAGGAATAGAAGAGAGATGGAGAAAGAAAATCTGATCAGAGAGAAAAGAGAGAGAGGGAGGAGAAAGAAAATATGAGAGAGAAAGGAAAAAGAAAACATGAGAGAGGGAAGAGAGAGAAAACATGAGAGAGAGGGAGGGAGGAGAGAGAAAACATGCAAGAGAGAAGAGGGAGAATGAAAGAGAAAATAGGAGGGAGGGAGAAAGAAAACATGAGAGAGGTAATAAAGGAGAAAGAAAGAAAATGGGGGAGGAGAGAGAGAGAAAATATGAGAGAGAGGGAGGGGAGAAAGAAAAAATATTAGAGAGAAGAGAGGGAGGGAGGGAGAAAGAAAAAGAAAGAGAGAGAGGGAGGGAGCAAAAGAATGAGAGAAAAGAGAGAGAGGGAGGGAGGAAAGAAAAATATGAGAGAGAGAGAGGGAGGGAGAAAGAAAATGAGAGAGAGAGAGAGAGAGAGAGAAAACGAGAGAGAGAGAGAGAGGGAGAGAGAAAGAAAAGAGAGAGAGAGAGAGAGAGAGAAAGAAAACGTATCAGAGAGAGAGAGAGAAGAAGAAACGAGAGAGAGAGAGAAGAGGGAGAAAGAAAAATGAGAGAGAAAGGGAGAAAAAGAGAGAGAGGGAGAGAAAAAAAACATGAGAGAGAGAGGAGAGAAAAAAACATAAAAAAGAAAGGGAGGGAGAAAAGAAAACATAGAGAGAGAGGGATATAAGAAAGAAAACATGAGAGAGAGGGAGGGAGAAAGAAAACATGAGAGAGAGGGAGGGAGAAAGAAAACATATGAGAGAGAGGGAGGGAGAAAGAAAACATATGAGAGAGAGGGAGGGAGAAAGAAAACATATGAGAGAGAGGGAGGGAGAAAGAAAACATATGAGACAGAGGGAGGGAGAAAGAAAACATATGAGACAGAGGGAGGGAGAAATAAATTATGAGAGAGAGAGCGTGAGAAAATGAGTGAGAGAGAGAGCGTGAGAAAATGTGTGAGAGAGAGAGCGTGAGAAAATGAGTGAGAGAGAGGGAGCAAATTTGAAATGGCTAACTAAATGCAAAGTTGAGATTAGTAATAACTAGACTGAAGTCAATGTAAGTATGTAATAGTCACTATAATTTCTTCCATTACTTCTACTTTTATTTCACACTTCTTTTTCAAACTTGCAAAATGAACAATTTCTTTATAATTGTTTCAATTAACATTAAACCTATTAAAATTTCATTTTTCAGATATTATTTGTAAATTCTAAACTATATGCTCCCTAGAACATTTATATTTAAAAATATATCAATGCTCACTTAAATCTTTTAAAAAATGGATAAATTACATTATTATATCAAAACCAGAATTGTTTTATCAAAGTGTAATTTAAAAACTTCTGGAATGTTGGCATAAGGTCATACAATGTCAAGGAAAATATTTTGATGATTAATATGTTATTAATGAACTGATTTTTTTTAAAAAAAGCATAAAACTAGATAGATAGATAGAGACACAGAGAGATAAATAGATAGATAGATAGAGACACAGAGAGAGAGAGAGAGACACGCAAAGAGAGAGAGAGACACACAGAGAGATAGAGAGATAGAGAGGCAGACAGAGAGAGAGAGAGATATAGATAGAGAGAGAGAGGTATAGATAGATAGAGAGAGAGAGAGACAGATATAGATAAAGACAGATAGACACAGATATACAGATAGAAAGAAGTCAGACGCAGTGATTATGAGGATAGATAACAATTAACTCTTTACTTGAAAAGGTTAAAATAGTAGCAGTCAGGAGAGCATCCATGCAGGTATCAGTTCCACATAGTAGCAGTTCTTGGGAAAAACCTGAGTTAATCATTTTCTTAGAATCTTTAGCAATGTATTGGATATAAGAGTTCCATTGGAGATCTGGAGTGAACGAGGTCCGGTAGACATTCAAGGTAAAGAACCTCAAAATGAGTGCAGCTTAATCATGGATTAAACTGAGGGCCCAATTAAATTATCAGGTTTAAATAGATAGGTCTCAGCTTCTGGAAAGTTATAATGTAGAGCCCTTATATTGTTGCAGGAAATTACCAAATATATGGGCAATATAATCAAATTATTAGCTAGCAAATAATCAGACTGGATAACATTAATTTTCTCAACTATTTGGTCAAACATCACAACTCCATCATCCTAAATAGAATAGATAATAAAAATGAAGGACATATTATGAATAGGGGTTATATGAAAGCATATGAATAGGAAACCAGAGTTTTCATTAGTGTGGTATCTGTCACATAAGAAGCCATACTATAGATCCCCAAGCCTATGGTAACAGAAAGGGTTTTGTTTGGTAATTAAAAGGGACTGAATTCTTACACTGGAATAGGTTCCTTTATATTGTTGTAGAAGATGGAAAAATATGGATGTACATTTGTTTTGGAAGAACTGGGTTTGATCAGTTAGTTTGTTCTAGGTATTAACATAGTTCAATATAGGTGAAAGGTGAAGAATAAAGGTAGAAAAAAAAAACAAGTAGTCTGTGTGAACTATCTAGATTAAATATTGGAAAATACAGTTGTAGGTGTATCCTTCATTATGACATCAAGAAACCCCACTGAAAACTAATGCACAGACCAGATACCATTCACAAAATGGCAATGCATTAAACCAATATTAACCTTAATAGTGGTTACTCTAAACTTTGGATTCCTGTAATATCAAGCAGATAACATGAATCCAGAAAATGTATACCTCCAACACCCTTAAGAGACAATCAATAATGAAATGAAAAGAAAATAGAAGCATTGACATTGAAATGAACCAGAGTTGTCTACCTAGAAACCAAGGCAGCAGAAATTCTTGAGTCAGAATTATCAAGCCTAAGCAAGGGTGGGGGCAGGTACTGTGACAAGCTCACTCACATGTGAGGATTAAAGGACCTACTGAAAGAAGTGTGGGAGGGGGTACAAATGATATTACCAACCCCTAAAATCTCAGTATGAATCAACTTCTATATAAAATGCACATGAAACCTGATTAACCAATAAAAATCAAACAACAGAAAAGTAAAAAATACCAGAATTTCTTTCTTTTTCTCCATATCCGCATTCTCTGATGAAGGTTTAATACATTTCCTATTTGTTCTTTATTTTATCATTCTGTTGGATTCCGATCTTTATTTGATCCCAACTCATACACAAAAATCAATGCAAAGTAACATGCAAATTATGAATTAGGAAAAGGAAAAACTTAAACAAGAATAAAATAAAGGATTAAAAAACATCTGTAGTTATGACTTCCTCATAAGGGTAAATTCACCTGCAGCAGAGAAATATGATCAAAGACTATATAAAACAATATAACATCCCAGTTGTGGAAGTATGATAAAAAATAAATAAACAAACACTAGCAATCCATTACTGGAAGTGAAACGACTAAATCAGACACAGTCAAATATATGAAAAGAAAAGGTGTGCTACTTCCTCTGGCATAAAATCAAAATAAATAGAGAGAAAAACAAAAAAGCCACAAAAAGCATCAAAACAATATTGCATAAACAAACCAAGTGTAGATTTTAATATCAATAGTTAACCAGTTTAAAAAAAAAACAAAAAAAACTAACAGTTAAGTTATACCCTATGAGTAGCTAAATCATAGCACTGGGAATTAGTTAATATTTCCTACTAGAAAACAGAATCCAATCTCATCTATTATTTTGGTTTTAGAGATTGTAATACTCAGTCTCATGATTCTACTTGGACAATTATATTTTAGTTGACAAAATGAAAATAAAATAAAAATGCTAAACAAATTTATGTACAGCATACATTTAGGGAAGGTTGATAAATATGTTAGCTAGTGATAATCTCAAAAATACATTAAATAATGAAAATATATTACAATTTCATGCATGTAGTTTAACATCATACCCAGGATGTGCAAGTAGTTTAACCAACTACATGAAGTTAAGCATGCTACTAGATTAGCATCTAGTTTGGTTTGGTTTGTTTTGTTTTATAGCATATCAACCTCAATGGGTCATTTAATGCTGACAACTTTTTTTTTTCCTGGTAATATTTTTGTTCTGTCAAAAATCTATTTGTTAATATTTTTTTTTCTCAAAAATGTATAACTGGTAATATTAAGTTTTCAAAAATGTATAGCTGATAATATTTTTTTCAAAAACATATAGCTGGTAATATTATATTTTCAAAAATGTATTATCAGAGGCCTTGCTGTTGGACGTAGTTTATTGTCATACCCAGGACGCGCAAGTAGTTTAACGTCATACCCAGGACACGCATGTAGTTTAACGTCATACCCAGGACACGCATGCAGTTTAACGTCATACCCAGGATGCGAGATATCTATTTACTAATCATTTACAAATTCTGAAAAGATACCAAGAATGCTTGTCAAAGCTATCACTTAGGTAAAAGCTAGGGTTACCAACTGCCCTAAAACAAATGCTCTTTCAATCTTCAATGTTAATACACTTAAAGGTTCTTACAGGGGTAAAAGCTGGCCACTCTTACACTGAGTCATTATTGAGAAAAACATTATATAAAATGTCAGTGAGGTTGGAATAAGGCATTCAAGATGATTTTCAGTAAGTGGCTCAGTTTGACAAAAGGAAGTGCGTCATTTGTTGTGGTCATGTGTGACCAGGATAAAATGCCTTAATAACAAAGCATTATTCATCTGGTTTAGGATCTAAAATGCTAACTGGATTGGCAAAGACTTTCCTTCCTGGAGGAAAATATAGAATATCTAGAATTCTTTTACTAAAAAATTGTACAACTATTGTTACATGGTCACATACTTCAGAGACATATTTTATCTTGGAAGTCAGCACCATCTATAGCATTATTGTTTCATCTTTGAAGAGGAAGAAACATTGTTATTATGGCTAACAAGTGCAGAAACATAGTTGGAATTTGAAGATATGGGTGGTTTTCCTTCAAACAATTCTTTTTTTAATAAAAAAAATCAATATCTAATGGAAATAATTATATATACTGAAATGTGTTCAGACATGAGGTAATATTCACAATAATACAATATAAAGAAATTAGTTACCAGCAAGTAAATAAATATTTAGCTGTTAGAAATAACATGTCTGTCCATGTCTAGAGTAGAATGTTATTTTATTTCTAAAATTTTTGCAACTTAGCTATATAAATACAGCTATTAGACCATTTTGTTTCAGGATTTTTCTAGTACACTTCAGTTTTGTTTGTGCACCCCTCACTTTCCATTAGTTCTTCACTGATGTTGGAATGTCTTAAAAGAAAAATTGGGCTGAATTTCTTAAATTTTTATTTTATTTTTCCCCACATCAATTTTTCAACAAGTTAACATGTATAATAAATTAAGCATGTGTAAGTAAATGTAATTGGTTGAATTACTGTTCACTAGAAAAAACCAGTACCATCTAATGTAAACCTTTTGGTTTTGTGCTACATTTTTCTGTGAAAATTTATCTTTAAATCTTTTCATTAAAAATATTTTTACCAACTATTTAATTATTCATGGTTTCTGAACCTCATTTAGGATGCCATTTTTACATTAAAAAGAAAATCTCAAGCAGTAAAAAGTTCCACATTGACACAGATTTTAAAAATTGTATTGCAGGCCTTCACTAAACTGGCAAGTTACCCATCTTAAAGTTTCTGTAAACAGAAAATTCCTGGTTCTCCGTTTTAAAGAGAAATGGCAAAAGATTTGGAAGAAAAGGAACAGTAACAAGAAAACAAGATTCTTGGAGGTTTAAATCTGCCACACTAAAAGATGATAAATATATTAAAAGACAAATTTTCAGAAACAAGAAACAAAATTTTACTCAATGAGTTAAAAAGACTTAAAACTGTGAAAAAAAGTTTTGTACATTGATGGCTGATGACGAGATTATTTCTCTCCAGATGTGCCAAAAGTTTCCTTTGAATCTCCAAAATGTCAATGACCAACAACACTTACTCTAATATTACAAAAGAAACTGTTTTTTCCAAAGTAGCCAAAGCAGATTTATGTTAATCTATCAACAATACACTTGAAATGTTTCTTACAGGATCTGGTGAAAAGTGTCCAAATTTTCCAACTTCAATTGTCAAATATGACATTTAGTATTATCTATCTTTGTTGTTATTAAGACAACATATCAACCTATACATTCTTGGGTCTTCCTCAAACAAATGTGAAATTTGGTCTTTATAATTCATTAATAGTTTTTCCTTCTTTTTGCTTGGAATCATATAATTATGCTTGTCCCTCCCTGTCAATAACTCATAAATAATGAACTGTTCCATTTTGGTCATGTGGAAACACAAGACATATCAGAGATAAAAAAAGAAAAAAAAAGATAGAAGTATTTAACATCTCCTGCTAATACCTCATAAATAATGGGCTGTTCTGATCCTGTGAGAAGACAAAAGACATACCAAAGATGCTACTTTGTTTCAGTCAGAAAATGAAAGAAAGAAGGAAAGATAGAAATGTTTAATGTTTATTTCAGTGAAATGAAAAAAGTTTTCAATTTCAAATCTTTTCATTTGTACTCCCCTTACTTCTTAAAATAATGACCAGCATTCATATTTATGATTGTTATTACAATATTTTGTTAAAGTTGTTAAACTCAAATATTTAATGATACAATAGAATTTCTATAGATATTTTATTGTCGTAGAAGTCACCATGAGTTTATTCAATCAATAACTGAAGAATTAAGATTCATCAGAAATTTAAAATAGGAAAACCATGAAATTTTC